AAGTGGTCTCACCTGAACCAGCGTCATTTGGGAGCCGAGTGCCAGGAGGATTTTCTCTGTCTTGGTGGGGTAGGGATTGTCCCTGTGCTTGTAGAGCCACTGCTTGAGCGGCCGCGCCATGTCCTGCAGGGCCTGACGTTTGTGTCGGACTTTACCACCACTGGGACGACCCCTGTGAAGAAACGGGTAGAGTATGTATCTGGTATTTGAGTTTGTAGAATCTTTTATCTTTTCTTTAAATGCCTAATTTTTAACACATCTTCCTTCTATGAGTAAGATAGGAGATGTGCTCACAGTGCGTTTATGAGTTAACACAATGCTTGTCTTATTTGAATAAAGACTAAAAAGTAAACAAATTGTTTTGCTTTTAAAAATGTGATAAAATCTGAATTTAAAGCAATGAAACAGAATCAGGATCGTGCTGTATACTGAAATGAACAAACGGTGTTATGCGAGCAGCAAGTTGAGTCCTAAGTGGAGCGGCAAGTTGCCTGACTTTGTTAGTCATGACACATAAAGTGAAAACTCTACAGAGTGTGCAATTTTCTCACCAAAAGCACTGCAATTAAGCCGAGAGATGTTAAAGGGATGTAGAGATGGAGAAAAAGAACGAGAGACTGAGTCAGTGAGGGGGAGAAAGAGAATAGCCACTTGCAGTTTATTTTTCATTGCGTGTCCCACAAGCCGCCAACACATTGCTATGAAACAAACAAAAACATTCTACTCAGGCACTAAGATTTGCCAGATTAACTTTTCACACCCAGCAAAAGTGGATCAAGAACAATGTAACAGAGGCCACGGCTTGAGCCAAACCATCACACAAGGGACGGACAAAAAGCTGAAATTATACTTCTGGTTTTCACTTACAGAAAATCAAAGTAGGGAATATACTCTGTGGCCTGGAAGATCGCAAATATATTTTCTCAAATCCCAATTCAGCAACTCAGTGGTGAGTACAGCTACAACAGCAACTCATAAAAGATCACTACAGTGAAATTACACAAGATGAAAAATGACAATATATGAATTTTCTATGAGCTCTTAAATATATATTAGAAAGTCTTTCTTTGAGTCTGCTTTTCCTGAGCTGTAAAGGACTCAGTCTCACCTGTAGCTCCAGGTCTTATGAACCTGTAGATGTCAGTATGGTGCTGTGCTGCATTTCTCCTTTTATCTCACCAAAAAGCTGCTCTCACTGTAGATGTAACATACTTTAGTCTAACCTCAAAGTCTACCCGAGGTTCATGTTCTACAAATATTTGCCTTGTAATGCAGATCGCTATGAACATCTTAAAGGATATTTCATTCCATGTTCTGAACTTTGGCTTTAAGCACACTCTCTCACACACGCACTCTGTTTAAAAATTTAATGTACTTTGTTAGCCTTATCCATCCCCTGAAAAAACACCTACAACTCACATAAGTTCACACAGAATTCTTTTAATATTACTGAGGGTTTCTTCTTCACAAGGCTCCTTAACATACCTACTTTGCCCCAGGTTGCTGTGATATAAACTAAAAAACATGGACATATCAGGACATATCTTCACCTACACCTGCTTCCTATTGTAGAAAATATATAGTTTAAAAAAATCAATGGCCGCTTACATGATTGACTAGACCACACAGAGAGCTCAAGGGTGAATTTATTTATTGAAAACAGATGGAGACCTCCGCTACTGAACAAGGCTGACCTACTTATTAACTCTAAGATTAGCTGTGAACATCAGCACCAAAATAAAGGCCAGATTGGGAAATATAAATTCCCTGAGCCCTAGAATCCTGGTGCATTAAATCCACATGAAAAAAATCTAGACTTTTTTATTATTATTATTCCTAATTATTATTATTTTTTCTTTCAGTGCGGAGATCTAGAGCATAATGTTGGGACCTATAAACGACCAAAATTGTGGCTTATTGAGGCCGGCGTAAGTTTCAAATGTTTGTGCATAAATGCGCAATTACGCACTGCTGCTGGTACTTTATCAAATCCAAATGTTAATAAATGCATCTGTATTACAACTCAGTGAGGCTCGTGCACACACATGGATTAAATATTTATTTTAACAGGATCTGAACCCAAAAGTCTGGCTTGGGTGTTTGGTCTGCTGTCTTTAATTCTGCGCACAAACTGAAGCGATAACCACAGCGCTCTGATAACAAAACCAGCATTGTTGTTCCCTCTCTCTCGTTCTGTTAGCTCGTGCTGGGAGAAATAACCGTGAAATAGAGGCACTCCTCATTAGTAACACCCCGGAGGGGAACTCCAGTTAATCCAACTCCGCACATGCTGACCAGCAGCGTTAACCATAACAGAACGCTCCACATACCCGCTCCGCCGGTGTCTGATCGCCTGGTTGTCTCTGATGGTCTGGTTGCTGGAGAGGAGGTCTGAATGCTGTCCGTCGATCACTTCTAGATAATTTCTGCTGCTCATTTCCACCTCCTTCGCTTTCTCCTCAAACAGAACCTGGCTGCTCAACTTGTTAAAGACGATGGTGTTCATCTTTGGTCAGACAATCCACCGTTTTTCTCTGACGCGTAAAATATCAGAAGGAGGGAAGGAAATCCACGGAGTTGTCACAGTGTCCCAGTGTCTCTTCTGTGGAACAAGTGTACATATTTTACACAAAGCGTGCTCAGAAATACCTCGGAGGATGACAAGTAAATTCGCCAGGGAAACTATTACAACTTGACCTTTGGCCACAAGGATCACAAAAAAACAAAAAAACAAAAAACCACTTAATAATGCCAGTACTTTAAAACACACTTTAAAAATTTCTCTGACAAATTGAAATTCCAAACCTTATTAAATGTGCTCGCTCATTTATTTACACTTCATTTAAAAAGCTGATCAATCTGATTAAAGCAGATCGTACCTAACAGCGAAGCTTTGATGCATCAGCTGCTTTACAAACAAAACAACAGAAGCACTTGTGCAGACTCATTATGCACAAATATCCATTGATGTGCAAAGGTATGCGTGAGGAAATTGACATAAATAAAACTGTGAATAATGCGTGCAGACAGCAGATCAGTTATGAGACAAGTAAATAAATGTTATGTGACTCGTTAATGCAGCGCTGCAATAAACTTACTAACTCTTTATCTGATTTTTCTACGTGACAAAATTCCACTCTCTTCAATTTAATGCACTTCCACTTTATTTGCAGGAGACAGCAGGGGAGTGGTACTGCAAGATTTGAACGGTAAACACTAAATTTGAGTTTGTAAAATGTGTTCAAGTGGAATTCACCTCCAAGTATCGTCCTCTGCTCTGTGGTCGCGCGTCAAGAACTCGTGAATGGTTTATTTTGTTTGGTGCTTCCACTCCTCCTCCCTTTTTAAATCTAATACAAACAAACCTACAGCCTTCACAAAAATGTGACATTTTTATTTTTTCCTCCTTTCACCCTCAATTTGTAACTTCTAGTCGAATACTGAATGTGTCCTGACAAGAGAAGCACCTTTGAGCTTTCATCATTAACCTGGCGCAAATTCCGCGCAGCAACAGCACTGAAATAAAACACCTAAGCGATATTACTACTACTAGTAGTATTACTAGTAATATTTAAGTTACAACCTGTGTCACGTTTATTGTATTTAGCTTTCTATATGGGGTTACAAGTGAGAATAAAGAGCCATGCAAACTCGGTCCAGTTCATTCAAAGTTGTATACGTGTTTGTCCTCTACATCATCCCTGTCCTGAGTCTCAGTAACGCGGCTCCATTCCTGCTGCAGTAAATCACTGTGAGTGCAGTTACCTGTCCCGGGTCCCTCCTGCGTCTCTCTGCTGTGTAGAGCAATAATCCTGTTTCCAGTCACCCATTCCCTGCTCACATGTTCCCCTCCTGAGATCCTGAGCTCAAACCGCACGGACCGCCGTCTCCTCCTCCGCTTTATCGAGTGGCCTGCGCCGCGCTGCCCGGGACTCTGAATATCTCACCCTGCTCATGTTTCCTAGTACACAGCCTGAGACTGCGAACATACTGTTGATGGCTTACGCCTGTTCTGGGGCTGGGGCCAGCAGAGTGGAGGAGAGGGAGGGGAGGCATCACGCTGCAAAAAGTAGGCTGTCTAAATCACGAATCCACGGTGGAGTCTGAAATGTTACTCTGAGTTGTCAGCTTGTGAAAAACCCCTTTGGCTGGTATTTAGTCCTTCTGTTTGGAACATAATACTGCAAAGCAATATTATAAATAGTCATTAATGAAGCCGGAGTAATTAGAATGATAAATTAGTAGACCTGAGTACAGATTCTCTTCAGTCTTTTCCAGAAAATAAGCGCAAAAACTGTGAAAGCAGCGCGAAAAAGCACTACTAAATCCAAATGAGCAAATTTCAGTCATGTGCTGCTTTGTAAAAAACAATGTAGCACCTGTGTCACATACATGTAGTGTCCTAGCTGTGCAAAGGATTTGCAAAATGTGGGATTTTGCTAACAGCAGAAAACTCCAAATACTGCAACAAGGTCAGTCATTATGGTTTCTTTTCTTTAGCTCCTGCAAGATGTAGACTGAGTCAAACCCACTGTCTGCTACAGACACTTTACAGTGCAATAAACCTGTTGTGGATGCTTGTAAAGAGTGTATCATGTTTTATCCATGCACGATCACTTGGGTCCTAAATGGTCCTGTGTCAAGAGATTTTGTCCCCTTCTAGCAACCACTTAGTGCACTTTTTAATACAGCTGCCTATCAGTGTATCAGACCATCTTCAAGGTCGTATGTTTTCCTTGTAATGAGAGTTATTCCATCAGATTCAGCACAAAAACACAATCCTAAACTATTTTTGGTAACACTGAAAAGAAGAAAGAGAAAAAAAATCTGACTGTATATAGCCATGCCACTGCTGATTACTCCTGATGCACCCTCTCATTGACTTTCATTATAAACCTGTCACATTATGGGCTCATGAGTCACAGATTCTGAGGTTCTCAGCTGTGTGTTCCTTTGGGGTTTATCCAAGGTAGTTATTCGAAGGACGTGACTAAGCAGCAAGAGCCATATGAAGGGTTCGAGCCCTGTGTAATTATTGTTTATTTGTGCTTATTTTCATTTAATGGGGGAAGTTAACTTTTACTAACAGCTTGTGCAAACATACCATGAATGGCCCAGTCATGTAATGGTTTTAATTAAGAATAGTTTATTTGCTTGGATTATACACAATATGTATGTTTGACTTCTCACCTGATGTGAACTCATGTTACCTCCCATGACCTTGCCAGTGTTATCTAAACTTGTGGCTCAGCACAGACTTGACTGGGGAAGTTTTGAGGCTTGTAAATGGCATCTCTTTGTTCTTAATCTACCCTCTCCAAAGCCTCTGCTTTTTCTCCCTGAACCTCTCTTTATGAGCTTGTCTGCTTGTCATCCAAGTGTGGGCGTGCAAAACGATTAAACAGGTAGGAGCACAACATTAATCATCATGTCCCACTCTATAAGGATTGGTGGCAGGGACTCTGCAGGCGATCCCCGTACACAGTTCTGTTTCATCTCTGGCTGGAGTTCCTAAACAACACCAGCATCTGTTTTCTTTGTTGTCTATTCTTCGTCATGTGTTTGGGTGTTGCAGTTAAACTATAAACGATTTTTTTGAAACCTGGCACCAGTGACTATATATTTCTAGTCTACAGATATGGGTTACAGCTGAAAAGCTTTGCAGTATAATCTATTTTTCATGAAGTCTTGTAATGCTGAATGTGACACCTGACTCAGTCTTACTCCACTCACAGTTTAGACATTTCTGGAACACATTACTGCTTTGGATGAAAAATTAAGAAAGAAAAGAATTCACCATACTTTCACTGTCTGATTTTAGAGGGTCCCCCCTCAATTTTGTCCATCAGTTTGGTCTAGTCGACCAAAGTTGTAATTACCCACAAGGGGTAATTACAACTCAGCCTGTAAAAACAGTTGAATAATATTTTGTCTCCCATGGAGCTCAGACAAGCCCCAGAGATGATGTCATAGTGTCACAACAGCTTGTATTGCAGTCTTTCTGGACTTCGACCCATGCATATTAAGGATTAAAGGGCTGATGAAAAAGGAAATAAACACATATACTACAACCCATCAGCTCTATATTGTGAATAGGCTCTCACTGTTTGATGGAGGACAAGGACACAGGACAGGGTGCTGGAAGTAGTCAACACCTTGGGCTCTTTCATGTGTTCCTTATGTTTTGCTTTATTTTTTGCATTGATCTGCTTGAGTGGTTAGTGGTTAAGTAAGTATGCTTTGCTGAATTTGTAAGTTTGCGTTATCACAAAAAAATTAACAGTCACTAATATTTATGGTATTCTCGTGGTAATGGAGAGAGTGACAGAATATCAACCAAAAAGTCAAGTCATTGAGTGAAATAAGTATTAGATCTCCTACAACCCAGCCAGAATTCTGGCTTCCAGAGATTGTACTCGAATGTTATTTAATTGACTGATCTCAAATCATTACATGTATAAAGCATGTGTGTCTGCAGAATCAATTTCTTCAATTCTAACCTCTCCACTGCCGTGGGTAAGACCAAAGAGTTGTCCAAGGACATCAGGGACAAGATTGTAGACTAGAGCAACAAGACTATCAGGAAGAAGCTTGATGAGAGGGTGACAAGTTTTGGTTTGATTATTTGGAAATAGAAGAAACAAGAAATGATCATCAATCATACTTCTTCTGGAGCTCCATACAAGATCTTGCCATATGTGGTGAGGATGATCATGAGTAAGGTGGTGAATCATCCCAAGAAGAGAAAGCAGATGAAACCAAAGTTGAGCAGCATCTACTTGCTTGGAGAAAGGGTAATGCTGAGTATGACCCAAAGAACACCATTGTCACAGCAAGGCACAGAGGTGGAAACATTATGCTTTTTGCTAAGGGTAGAGAATGACTTAACTGCATTGAGGGGCTAACAGATGGACCCATATACCATAAAATCTGGGATGAGAACCTCCTTTCCTCAGCCAGAACATTGTTTTCCTGGAAGACTCATCCACAACCCATCTAAATCATCCAAAAAGTACCACCAAGACAACAAAGGCTAAAGAAGAAGTGCATTTAGGCCATGGAGTCGACTTAGAGATTTAGAGAGTTTCTGTAAAGAGGACTGGGTCAAAATTCCTGTGCATGGTCTTGATGACCAACTACAAGAAATGTCTGACAACTTTCCATACTGATGTTTGTGTTTGTATAAAACGAAACCCCTGATGTTCTCTCATAAAATACCAACTCCAGTATATCCATACTGGTTCATAGATTCATGTCAGTATATATCAGATCCCTTATGCTTAGTAAAACAACATCTGGAGCATTTTCATACAATACCAGAAAGAAACCATTAGTTTACCCTACACTTCATCCAAGACTCATTTATTTAAATGTTGTACGTCAGTGTAATTGTGGGAAACTGTGTTCTTGCATCCAGTGTCTGTATGTTTTATATACCAATGACAGTCTCTCTTGTATTGTTTTATATGACATCGACTGAGTTCATTTGTATGTGGGTTTGGTCTGGCTTGCCAGAGGGGCGTTTGTAGTTAAAGTTTTATACACTTTCGCTCATAACATTTGTTTTCTCCTTAAACTTCCACTTCAGCTTTAATCCCTAAAGTTCCAGAGGGACTCAAATGTGTCTTATGTTTAATTAACAAAATGCTGTAGTAAAGAAGCTGCAGAAAATTTGATATGTAGCTCTATATGCCATGGCCTAAAGACTTCCTTTTTAGTGTCCCTCTCTGAGGCAGGGATTGTAAAATTAAAAAGCAGACATTCATTACACGTCATGGATCCAACAGGGAACACCCGGTTTTGCCTTGAGCTACTTCATCATTCAGTGCACATTAAAGGATCTGGCTATGAAAAGTGGCCATTACTTAAAATCAGTGTCAACACCTTACGCCATTTCAATCCAAATTATTTTTTAAAGCTGCAGCCTCTGCACCCATCATCTGCCCCTCATTTAAGATGATGTTTTCACTCCATGCTTGGGCCTAATTGCCCCATGTAAACCATGATGCAATTACATAGTATAACTACTTGTAAAGCCAGAAACATATTTGCTCAAAAGTTTTCCAGCTATGGTGGAAAGTGTGACTGAGAAGAAAATTTGCAGGTTGTATAAAATGACCCAATTGCTGTTTTCAAAGAGGGGTTTCAGACATTTGGGACACTAATCAGTGAGCTGAAGCGCGTGCTGTCTGTACATGTCCAGTGAAAGCAATCAAGTTCCATTAGCAGTCACTGGGATTGATCCCTAAAATTACAGTGGGGAATAATTGCAACTTGGAACACCCAGTACTGTTTAACCCTCCTGTCCTGTGTTGCATCTCTAAATATGGCGTTCCAAGAATACACAACTGGCTACTAAATTGGCACATAGTACTCTACAGGGAGGAGATACCACTTCACTATCCAGCATGAATGGTGGTGATGGATTCATCTGTCAAGCTTTTGTTGCAAACCGAACCCTCTGATTTTCATGCACTGTCGATACAAGCTGAATTAACAAATCATGCTTTTTTGCACACTTAAGCCTTGCCAAAAGTCCTCAGTCATGCTGGAATAACAAAGAAGCATACGTGTTTGACTTGTTCATTTATAATGCCAGTGCTGTTAAAACTTCAGTGAAACTTTTCACTTATTCGTGTGTCATCACCTCTATAATTCTGCTGCTGCTATCTTTGGTTCTCGAGTCTCCAGATATTTTTCTCCGTGAGCAGACAGTTGCAAAGCTCTGAAGTATTTGGGAGTGCTTGGGCAAACTGACAGCAAGAGGTAGACTGGGACAGGGGTTATTTATGCATAAGGCAAAAAGAAAGGGCATTTATTAGTGTCAGAATTAAAGTTGAACAAACACGTTTGAGTTTA